CAAACACCTCGGAATTCTGTCCAGGGATTTCAGCCAGCGTCCCGACTGTGACTGCAGTGGGTGCCAATGCAGCCGCCTGTGCCGGGGGCCGCGCGCTCTATGGCACCGCTTTGGGCGTTTTTGGGACGGGCGTGAGCGCTGGTAACGGTGCGGCTGAGATGCTCCCGAGCCCGCGCATCGTGCGGGGGCCGTGACCGCTGGTGAGTGACCACGTGGGCACACCAGCCGGCAGCGCCTCTTCTCCGAGCCGTCCCAGTGTGGGCTGTGGGTTGAGGTGCTGGTTTTCCACCTTCTCAGCCACGGCTCTGAAGATGAACGTGAACCTGCGGGAGCTGTACCTGGCCGATAACAAGCTGAACGGGCTGCAGGACTCGGCTCAGCTCGGCAACCTGCTGAAGTTCAACTGCTACATACAGATACTCGATCTGAGGAACAACCACATCCTGGACTCGGGTGAGGGCCCCTTGCTGCTCCTTCAGGCACAGCCCCGATTCCCTGGAGTTTTGACCCAAGTTTTAAGGCAGGGAGGAACTCAGCTGCAGAGCACAGAGCTCAGGGCGGTGGGACAACCCTGAGCGGAGCCAAAGCAGGAGGGTTGCACAGAGCAGCTTCAGCATGTCAGGAGGATTTTCACAGGGTAAACCTCTTGGGTTTTAAAGCTAAGATCATTAGAGAAACTTTGATTGCTTCCTGGGCTGGGCTGCGAGGTGCACAGCAGCTCCCGAAGGTAGGGAGAGGTGGGGATGCCTTGTGCCTCGGAGTCGTGTCTTCCGCCTCCCTCCATCTCTTGCTCCCATCTGCTTTTTCTCCGCCTCACTTCCCAGAGCTGAATGAGCGGACAAATCTAATAGCAACCAAGGAATTGCGAAACAGTCCCAGCCTGGACTTCAGTCCCAGCTGGTTCTGGTCGGCAACGCTGATTACTTGGCTGAGTGCCACGGTTTGGTGGAGGAGCCGCACTCGCTCCGCGCGAGCTGTCGCGGCTGCCTTTGGATTGGGTGTAAAGGTAGCCAAGCGTGACCAAGTCGGATGTCACCGGCGCTGTTGTGGCCACCTGTACTCCCAGATGGGTCCCACCCTAAAGTGCAAATATTAATTTGCCACCTTCCAGGTCAGCTGCCACGTCCCTCACATCTTTGGGTGCTTAATAATGGCCGGCGCTGGGCCTGTACATGTGGGAAGTCGCTTGCTGGGCATTGCTGTGGGTTTCCGCAGCATCGCTGGCATTGGGGTGCCGTGCGCTTATCGAATAAGCGTGTTTGCAGCAATTTAAAATGGCGCCTGCCCTAAGCCCGGACAGGATTTGGCCAGGAAGGTGTACGGGAGCTGTGGAGGATCTGCGTCTCCAAACTGCTCTGTAATTCCGTATCTGGCAAAGAAGGGAGACGGTGACCCCAAGGAAGGAGCGCACACCCTGCCTCCAGCCTCTGCCTGCGACCAGGTGCCACCCTGCGTCCCCCCATGCCGCGGGCAGGCAGAGGGATGGGCAGGGGGTCACCCTGAGCGCCCAGCCAACCCCAAGCGCCCCACATCCCTGCACCTCTGGCTTCCTCGCCGGGAGTTTTGTACCTGCTCCAAAGGCTCCAGCCTAGCGCTAATTAAATCTACACGCCGAGAGGTTTAATTGCCTGTTTGTGCACACAGGAGCGAAGCGCTTTGCTCGCAGCTGAGGTCAGATCAAGCAGCTGGGGGAAGGGGTTTGAGTGGGGACGGTGTTCGGAGACACCGCCAGCACCAGAGCTTGGCGTGACGATGCCGTGGCTTTTCTCTGTTGCTGTCTGGGTGCTGTTGTCCTGCCTGTCCGTCCTACCCAGCATCGGGCAGCGCCTGAGCAGAGGGACAGACCGGAGGAAGCGAGGAAAGCGTCGTTCGAGCCGGCAGGACCTGTGCAGGCAGGGGAGGGCTGACACCCGGCTGTTTTCCAGGCTTGGCGTACATCTGCGAAGGGCTGAAGGAGCAGCGGAAAGGGCTGGTCACTCTGGTTTTGTGGAACAACCAGCTGACTCACACCGGCATGGCCTATCTGGGCATGACGCTGGTGAGTAGATCTTGGCACCTTCCTGGGGGGCGATGGCTTGCACCAGGTGCGCAGCTTTGCTCCCAGAGAGATGTCTCTCCCGCGACGGCTGGGGCCGGATCTGGGCAGCGGTGGGAGGGAGCGCAGCAGCCGAGCTGCTCGGCATGACGTGCCCCTGGTGCCGCGTCGGAGGAGAACCTGTCCCTTGTTCCCCTCCGCCACTGCTCGGGCATCCCGAGGTTGGAGGAACAGCCGTGAATTAAACCCACTCGGGCTTGAGACAGACCCGCTGTCCTGTCCGCCTCGAGCTGTTTTTCCCCTGGGTATCCACAGCCTCAGACACAGAGCCTGGAGACCCTGAACCTGGGCCACAACCCCATCGGGAACGAAGGCGTCCGCAACCTGAAGAATGGGCTGATCGGGAACCGCTCCGTCCTTCGCCTGGGCTTGGCATCCACCAAACTGACCTGCGAAGGTGGGTGCAGGCTGGCGCCCAC